TGTGTGTGTGTGTGTGTGTGTGTGTGTGTGTGTGTGCTTGCACACATGCCACAGGGCATGTGAAGTCCAGAGGACAATTTGTAGGTCCCAGGTCATCAGCAAGTGCCTTTGCCTGCTGATTCATCTCACTGAGCAGTAATACAATCTTAAGGGACCACCATTGTATATATGAATTCTGTCCTTGACTAAAATGTTACGTAGCCCGTGACTATATATTTCTTAGAAGAAGGAGACTAAATCTCAAGCCAGCATGACAAATCTGATTTCACACTTAGTGAGTTGTATTTATAATTCTACTTATAATAGGACAATTAGCCCAGAAGGGTAGAATAGCAGGGATTAGATTGTATAATAGGTACTGCCACCACAACAGCTTTTTGTTAGAACAGTTACCTTAGCTAAATGGAAAGAAAACCATACAGTAAAAATTAAGTCAAGTTTTCAGAAGAGGCCACTAGTGACCCATTAGATGTTGCTGGTCTTAATTCTAGTACATGTTTTAAAAAAAGAAAAAAAAACAACACAGGCACGGCAGCCTTCTTCAGCGCCAGGCAACAAAAGCTGCTGCGAGCGCAAGCAGCCGTTATTTCTCCATGTCGCTGTCTTCCAGGCTCCGGCTGGTGGTCGGAATGGCCCAAGGAAATCAAAGAGAACTTGCCCACCAGAAAAATATGAAAAATAAAAAAAAACCAGGAAATTAGCAAGGAGAAAGAAAAGAGGATAGCTTGACTACCTCTCAGAGAAAGCAGAGGGACTCTGAGATCATCAACAAAAGCAGAAGACAGCCAGTGAGGAGACATCTATGCAGACAAAAGAAAAATGATGACTTGAGCCAATGGGTTATAACTTATCCTTATAAACTGTCCATTTAAAACTTTACTTTTCAGTCTTACTTAAGAATAAAGTACTGAGCATGCATGTAAAGAAAAGAGAAAAGAAAAGAAAAGAAAAGAGAAGAAAGGAAAAGAAAAGAAAAAACCCACGGTCTCATTATGTAGCATTGGCCGGCCTGGAATTTGCTGTGTGGGTCAGGTTGACCTCAAATTCATGAAGATCACTTGCCTCTGCCTCCCAAGTCCTAGGACTAATGAATGGCCTGCAACAACAAACACAGCTTGATTTCAACTTAGTTTGGTTGCATGGTAGTCTCTTTTTGTTTTCCTCTTTAAATGTCTTAATCTTATACATGGAATAGTACCTGAGTTTTTAAAGATTTGTTTTTATTTTGTGTATGTAAGCTTGCTTGAGTGCCTGTCTATGTACCATCTGTGAGCAGTGCCTGCAGAGGCCAAAAAAGGGCATAGAATTCCCTGGAACTAGAGTTACAGATGGTGGTGTGATAACCTGTGGGTGCTGGGAACCAAACAGTCCTCTGTAAAAGAAGCCAGCTCTTTCAATTGCTGAACCATCTCTTTAGCCCAAACTACCTGATTTAAACCTGTCACCGCCATTGATAACCCTTCTACCCATTAATAAATGTTACCCCTGAGCACTGGTAATGGCTCAGTCAAAAGAGGAGGACCCAAGTCTATCTCCAGCACCCACATGAAAAGTGTAGCCCAGTGCTGAGGAGGAGAAGACAGAAAATCCATGGGGATCACTGGCCAGTCATCCCACCCAAAAGGGCAAGCAAGCCCTGGGTCCCATCGAGAGACCCTGTCTCAAAAAATAAGGCTTCTGAGGAATAACACCTGGGCTTAGCCTCTAGCCTGAGCACACATATGCAGCAGCACACAAATGAATGCCCACTCAAGTAAGTGGTCTATTCCTCTGTATAGATCCTAACATTTACAGTGAGTTTAGACTCGTTTCCCACTAGCTATGACACGTGTTTGTAATCCCAGCTCTTTGGAGGCAGAGATAGAAGGAACACAAGTTCAAAGCCAGCCTGTTCTACTGAGTGAGTTCTAGGCCAGCTAAGGCTATTCAGTAAGACCAAGTCACCACATTGAAAAAGAAAAAAGCAGGCTAGAGAAATGGCTCAACAGTTAAGAGGATGTGCTGCTCTAGGAGAGGACCCGAGTTTGGTTCCCAGCACCTCCATAAGGAGGCTCACAGCCACCTGTCAGCCCCAGGAGCATCGGACACCATTGATCTGTGGACACTGTGTACAAATCCTTATGCATGTACACATAATTAAAAATTTTAAACTAAACAAACAAGAGCAATCATTTTCCTCCTCCATTATACTTTCCCATCCCAGTATGTCAAAAGTACCCATGTCCAACATTAGTGACTATTCGCTATGGACTGTATAATCTGTACACAACACTCTCCCTCAGGACAGAGAAAATGTCTTTAGCAGAATGATGCATTAACAGATGGTCTTCTCCCATTTTTTCTAGAGAAATCCATTCATCGTCAGTGTAATGGAAAAGCCTCAGACCAATGACTCTTTTCAATGTGAGCTTGAAGATTTCATTAGAAAGCAGAAAGCCAGGGGATTAAATCCAAGGGTCTACTTCAGAAATAAGGCAGAGAACTCTGTTCACCAAGAAAGAGACCATGTCAGCTCTGGAGCTCCAATGTTCTCATTCAGAGAGCACCCCAGACCCTCTTATGAAGGGCTGGCAGGGGAAAACCTGGCACCTCACAGCAGACCAAGACTGGAATATCTCAGGCATCAGAACCAGCCAGTCAATCAAGACAGAAAGGAAAAGACATGGCACCAGGAGCAGGGAGGAGGCACCAATGCAGAGCCAGGGATGGCGGAAAGGAAACACCACAGAGAGAGGGGTTCACTCAAAGACAGGAGCCTTAGCAGAAAGAAGGCCTCAGCAGATCCACTGGGCACAGAGAAGTCCAAGCACAGAAAGGGGACCAGCCATGATAGACGGGACACCACCAGAGGCAGACACCATTCCCACAGAAAGAAGAAGGAACCAGAGGAGAGGGATTTGTGGGATGAAGCTATCTTGGGCAGTTGCTACTGATGTTTGGGCATTTGGGGGTCCCAAAGTCAATGACTTGGTTCTGTTGGTAAGGATGGATTAAATGACCTCGCAGCAATAGATGTCAGTCTTCCAACGTGGTCCATTTGCTCTACTTGTATAGAAATTGTGAGTCTGCATGGGAACCCTCTTCTGGTACTGGTAGAGACAGGTCTTTTAGTGCCCAAGGCCCTTGAGCTGAGCTGACAGATCCAGGAACTTTAAGTGCCAGAGGCTGTAGAAGCCAGTCAATCAAGGCAGCTCTAGGTACTAAGCTGGAGATGTTTTAACCACAGAAGCCTTAGCACTTGGCAGCTGTCTTTGGTTCCGAGCAGCAGGTAGCAGAAGTGGGTAGTAGCTGCCAGCTCCCCAGCAGTCTTGTGTGTTGGAACACTCAGTTCCTGTAACAGGCCTGGGCTACAGCTCTGGAGCCTGGGACATTAGACATCTTACGTCTCCCTGAAACTCTTCTATAGTCAGGGCCCACTTTCCTTTCTCTGGCTCATTGTCTCCAAGGACCTACACTTCCTATTGTTTCTGCCTCTGGCCACTCTGGAAATTCCAGCCATTTTCTTACCATTGTTGCTACCATGGAAGCCACTGGGGGAGTAACTGCTTCCACCTTTGCCATTGCTGCCATTCTGAAGCTGCTCCTGCCATCCACTCCTGACTGTCTCTATTCAGCCCTGCTACTAATGACGAAGCTCAAGAGAAGACAAAAGGATTGCGATCTGCTCCAGTCAAGCCCCCTGTCTTCCCAGTGCCGATGATTTCATTCATGGCTTTGGGCCTGCTAGGCAAGAGCTCTCTCAACTCATCCCCAGTCACAAGCCTTCTGATGGGCCATCAAGGGAAGCGCCCTGCCACACATAGGTTTCATAACACTGGCTACAGGATTACCTAGCCTTCACCAAGGTGTCTGATGAGCAGGTGTGCATGTACTGTGTGAAATGGCCATGGCAAGAATAGCTGGGTTTAAAGCCATTCACAGCCATGCCCAACCAAGAGAGAACTGTTTTTGTTCAAGATACAAGAGCCAGATGCTAGAAACAAGAAAAACTGATGGTTGTATTTGCAGAAACATTTAGAGTTTGTGTAAAGCAGATTTTTGCTATAAAGTCTATAAAAATTAGAATCTTGAAAATAAGCATTAAATAAACACACAGAATACATGGAGTATCTGATAGGAGAGAGCTCAGGAGATAGGAATGGGTGCGTAGAGGATAGTAAAGAGTAGACTAACCTTTATGGGACTGGCAAGAGGGCTCAGGGGGTAAAGGTGCCTGCCACCAAGCCTGGTTTACAGAGTTTGATCCTTGGGACCCACAATGTAAAAAGGAGAGAGCCAACTCCTGCAATGTGCTGTTTGTATTTATTCTATTTTTATTTTATTTAGGATATTACCAGGAGATATGTAAAGGCAAGAAAGACGGAGGAAACCATTTTTGTCACTATGTTAGTGTCCTTACCTGAATTATTAAATTATTGGCTCTTAAAACAGGGCCTTACATACTAGTCTGGTTTTACCACTTGGCCTTTTAGTCTCTTCCAGTAGATGGCACTAGAAGGTCACTGTAGAGTAGAAACAAGCCAGGGGGCCTTTCCTCCCCTTTTCCTGGCTTGCCCTTTTGTTGGTAACAAAAATGGGGAGGCATTGGGGAGCATATCCTACCTGTGGCCTATACACCTCGGCAAATGTCTCTGTTGGTGGACTCTGGCCCAGTTCTAGCTGCAAAGTCTAAATCTCAGTGGTTTGGAGAGGGATCTCACCTCGCCACCCCCAACCCCCCCAATGCTCCACCCCCCCGCCAGTTGCCAGTTGTACCTCCTCAGCTCCACCCATGGAGCCCCACGCCCATCAACTACCATCTGCAGGTCACAGTTAGCCACCTGCTTGGTGCTTTTGAGCTGACAGTGGTTCTCACATTTGGATCCTAACTACACAAACTGGAGATGTCTTAATTGAATTGTTTTTCAAAGCATGTACTTGTGGGCCTGGCAGTGGCTCAGTGGGTAAAGGCATTTGTTGCTAAGTCTAATGATCTGAGTTCAAATCCCCAGGTCCCTTATAAAATCAGGTGCAGAAGTATGTGTCTGTAATCCCAGAACTCCTGTGAGACAGGAGGTAGAGACAGAATTTTAAGAAACTTGCAGACCAGCTAGGCTGGCATCTGCAGCAATGAACCTAAGAGACCCTGTGCTGAGGTACAAATAGATACCTGAGACGGTCCTCTGACCTCCACACACTGCTGTGGCACAAACATGGCTCCCACAAGTTGTATACACACACTTTAAAAAAAAAAAATCTGAATAGTGGCAATGTGGTTATTTGCTCAAAATAAAACCCTTGAGCCATACAGTTGTGATTTGGGCTACCACATGTGACAAAATTCACTTGTTAGGGTAAATATTATTAGAACTTTTTAATGTTTTGTTTTTTAGAGAGAGGGTTTCTCTGTGGCTTTGGAGACTGTCCTGGAACTAGCTCTTGTAGACCAGGCTGGTCTCAAACTCCCAGAGATCCGCCTGCCCCTGCCTTCCGAGTGCTGGGATTAAAGGTGTGCACCACCACCGCCCGGCTGAGAACTTTTTAATGTAAGGTGAATTGTTTTCTCTCATATCCTGGCTGCAGTTTCCCCTCCCCCCAAGTTCCCTTCTCCCTCAGGTTCACCTTTCCTTTGCCTCCTCTCAGAAAAGAGCAGGCCTCCCAGGGACATCAACCAAACATGTCATAACGAGCTACAATAGACCAGGCACATACCATCACATCAAGCCTGTAAGATGCAGCCTCGTATGAGGAAAAGAGTCCCACAAGCAGGCAAAAGTCAGAGACAGCCGCTGCTCCCGTTGTTGGAACTTCCACAGGAACACCAAGCTACACAGCCATAACTTGAATGCTGAGGACCTCGGTCAGACCCATACAGGCTCTCTGATATCTTCAAGCCCCCTCAAGTCCCTGTCGATTGATTCTGTGGGCCATGTTCTCATGATGTCCCTGGCCCATTGTCTTCCTCCAATCCTTCCATCGAACTCCCTGAGCCCTGCCTAATGTTTGCGGGACTCTGTGTCTGCTCCCATCAGTTGCTGGATGAAGTCTCTTTGGTTTCTCTGATGAGGATTCTGCTAGGCTCATGGTCCCAGAACACTCTGCAGGTAGGACAAGCTGTAAGTGGAAGGTTTTGTGACTGTTGGTAACCCAATCCTTCTACTTGAGGCCTCACCTGGTTACAGAAGATGGCTGATTCAGGCTCTGTGTCCCCCCATTACTAGGAGTCTTTGCTAGGGTTACTCTTATAAATTCCATGGAGTTTCCCTTGCACTAGGTTTCCACCTCACCCCCCAAATACCCCCAATTCCAGTTATTTCTCCCAATATTTTCTCTCCACACCCCCCATCCCTCCTGTTCCCTTACACACATTCATTTTGAGATACTAAATTCCAGTTATAGGTCTGGCCACTGAGATACAACAGTGAATGGGATAAACACCAATATGGAAAGAAGAAAGAAGGAAGAATTATGGAGGGAGGATTGATAGGTAAATTGGAGCTCGATTCTAAACATCTATTGGAAGGAGCAGGTAACATCTGTCACCCCTGGACCCATCTACTAAATGGCAGTATCCCTCTCAGCTTCCATAATAAGACAATCAACACGGTCCATCTTAACATAGGACTTAAATCCTCTGAGGGCTCCTGCTCACACCCAAAGTTCCATCCTTCTGTGCATGTGTGAAAAAAACAATGTTTCACATGTGAAAAAAATGTCTCAGGCTGACCTTGGATTCAGATTTCTCCTGCCTCTGCCTCAAGTGCTGGAACTAAAGGTGTGTGCCACCACCACCCAACATCCCTTTTAAGTTCTTTAAAGAAAACTTGACAATTTCCCAAATGACTCTTGTGAAGAACTGAAAGTACCCAGGGGTTGTGCATATTTCTGTGTGTAGATAAAATGAAAAGGAAGAACATGAGGAAAAGTTGAATACTTATATCCTGAGTCCTGTGATTAAAGATGGGTGCCAACTCCAGCTGGTGTGAAGAAACATTTCTACATTGTGTCCCTGTAGACAACCCAGCATGATAGAGAAAACTGTTGATCACATCTCCTTATGTGAAGCCTGGGTGCCTGGGAGTATGGTATTAGATTTCCTTTTTAAATTAGTTTTAGTTTTGTTTATTTTTCAAGATGGTTTCTCTGTGTAGCTTTGGTGGTCTTGGAACTTGCTCTGGAGACCAGGCTGGCCTCAAACTCACAGAGATCCACCTGCCTCTGCCTCCCTAGTGCTGGGATTAAAGGGATGCAACCCCACTTCTGGGAAAATGGTACATTTCTTTCTGAGATGAATTTGCTTATGTTTTTATTATTTAAGCGTTTCTTTTCAAAGAGTTATTGTGGTTAATCTTGGCTGTCAGCTTGGCTGAACTGAGAGGTGATTCATCAGTGAAGCACAGCCCTAAGTGTCTGTCAGTAGTTCCTGGAGAGGCTTGTCTCATGAGTACTCTGACCTAAGGGAGGGTTCCATCCATTGGTGGACTGAGACCCCTGAGAATGCACCCTTCCTGTCAACTGCTCTACTCTGCTTCTGGCCTTCCGAGATGTGAGCTGTTCCACTCCACCATGATGGACTAAGACTTCTCAAACTGTAAACAATTCCTCCTGGCCAGTGACATGGCTTAGCAGGTAAAGGTGCTTGCCACCAAACCTGACTATTTGAACTTGATCCTTGAGGTCACAAAGTGGAAGGAGAGAAATAACTACTGCAAGTTGTACTTTGACATGTGGTATGCATGTCTCACCAAAGTAAATAAATATAACAGCAAAACAGAAATTGATAGCCTTCTTCCCAGGTATTGGTCACAACAAAAGTATGACAAGAGTCAAATGACCTCTTTGATGCAGCTTTAGCAGGGTGGTGGTGGCACACACCTTTAATCCCACCACTTTCAAGGCAGAGGCAGGCAGATCTCTATGAGTTCAAGGCCAGCCTTATCTACAGAGAGAGAGTTCCAGGAAAGCCAGGAGTGTTTCAC